CTCTTGAGAGAACCAAACTTCAAGTGTATTGAGTCTTCACAAAAATTGGGCAGAGTAACGGCTGTATACTGGTGAATTTCATATTACAAACAAAGTATGTAATCACAATAACCTGCACACAAAACAAATAAACAACCCAATGTCTTAAGGTAAACCTCAAGAACTCCATTCAAAATATCAATTAAGGTCACAAGGTCTCCAACATAGGTCAAGGTTTCTAATCCTTAGTCCAAGAAGTCCAATACTCCATAATGCCAAGGATAGTAACCAAATAGTCCAAGTATCATTAAAGTTTTTTATGGTTCATGTTGATTATTAAGTATCTTCAAAAAGAAAAGAAAAGATCAAGTGAGAAAAATAAAAATGACATAAAAGTAAATGCTCAAGTGAGCAAAGATGAAAATAGCATGAAATGTAAATGCTAAAGTAAATGGTACATAAAGTAAAAGCATAAAAATAAAAAGCATAAAATAAAGTCAATTGTTAGAAATTAGTGGTTAGTTGGATGAACATCTTGAAACTTACATTTGGAACTCATTAGAGGATTGGTAGAACCAAAGCCTATCAACAACAAGTTGTATTTGCTTTTTGTCAAGTATATCATCCATTTTAGATTTCTCAAGGCAACATTTAATGATCAGCGATGTTTAAGTAATCCACGTTGACCAAAATTTATGAAGATTCATTAGAGGATTGATAGAACCAAAGTCTCCACACAATGAATCCCAAGGTTATTGGATCAAAGGGATCAAATTAACATACTTGGGCTTGCAAACATAGGTTTGGGCCACAAATGATCATTTATTAGAATCGGGACAAAATTTAGCACTATGTTAAGCAATCGTAAGTGGACTTATGTAGAAGTCGCACCTATTTTGAGGCGGGTCAATAGCAATCTATGTACTTCATGTTTGGATAAATTATATATAGATCATTATACCATAAAATTTAATACAATAAGAAAGGGGAATAAGATGAAGAGGGAAGGAATTAGAGTTTTAAATATCATCAACATCATTCGTCCATTTTAATGGATTTGGTTTATCAACCTATCAACACCCAAGACCTAATGATGTTAAAGAATTTGTCTCAAGATATGCTCCAAGACAGTACCACATTCTATTTCAATAATCAAACAAGAATCATGTACAAAAGTTTTCAATTTACAAACATTGTTCAAAGGGAAAACCCTAAATGCAATCTTAAGTCAAAAATAGTTTTAAAATATGAAAATGACTTGAAAAATTATGAAATTAAAACCCTAACTTCCTGAAGTCGTATAAAAGTTAGAAATAAAATTTGTAGTCCCTGTATTGAGGTGGAAATTTACTTTAGAAATGCAAACTTGGAAACTAGTAAGTCTAAGCCTTAAACTAGATGGTTTTGGGAAAATAATTTGTGAAAAATATGAAATCACATTGTAAAATTCCAGAAAAATTATTTTTATGGCCTCACATGTTCAAGCACTCCAAAAAATTTCATCTATGATTTTATAGGCATAGGAAGTTAGAAATTTAAATCCATTAATGTGCATGATCAAGCAAAAACCCTAAAAAGAGAAAATAAGTTCAAAAATTAATCAATTAGGTCCAAAGTTCAAATAAATTTGATGTAAAATAACCTAAATGTTAAGAAAACTCTAAGGACCAAAAATCATATTTTTCTTGAATTTTATCTCAAAAAGAAAAAAGAAATAGAAATTATTTAAACAAATCATTAAAAAAACAAGCAAAGAAGAATATGTTCAATTAAATGATTTAATTTGTAATCCAAAATTTTTATAAAATAGGAAATAATATTTTCATGTAATAATCTCATAGAGGAGTCCAAAAATATTTTTTATGGATTTTTACTTAATAGATATAAGAAAATAAAATTCAAGATTTAAAAAGAAATACTAAAACCCTAATTATTCACATGATTTTATTTAATCAAGAAAAATGATAAAAAATAATAAAAATAAAAATATGAAAATATACTGAAAAAGGAGTTTAAAATATTTTTTTTGATACTTTTTGAAATGAAGAAAAAATTAAAATGAAATTTAAGAAAACAAAAGAAAAATTAATATATGAAGCTTTTTACACCCTTTATTGACAAAATGCACTGTAAAAGATAAAATGTATCTATGTTCAATCAGGCAGGGACACGTCATCGTCCCTACCAACATTCCAAAACCCAAAACGCGTGTAAAACTGTTTTCATCAAGGCAACTTCTAGTTTCAATTTCTCTCTTATTACTCAACCATTTAAGATGATTCCAAAAGCAAACATGATCACCAAACTTCTAAGAACATCACACATCTTTTAGATTTCAAAAACAAGGCAGGATTAAAGAGAAATTGAAGCTGGAAGTCACTGAAAACTCACTTGAGCATAATTTGCAGAAAACTTCAAAACATCAATGGAGTTTGAATCAAACCAATTAGATACATCAGACCAATTGTCTGGCCAGCTAATAACATGTATGCAAGATCTCAAGCATTGAATTAAGCTAGCAATCGAGAAATCCAAATCTGAATTTTACCTTTCAAGTGAAAAATAAATTCACTATTGGCTGAATCTAATGATGAGAAACCCAGAGATACTTTATTTTCTTGCTCCAATTATGAAGAAATGAAAGAGACATGAGAGCTGGAACAAGGATTGATGGAGCTTTGAAGAGAAGAAAATTTCAACAATGGAGTTCAAGCTTGCTTTGAGAGAGAGAAAGAGAAGTGTGTTGCTGACTTTGTGAGGAAGAGAGAAAGAGAGTAAGAGCTTGCTACTGAATTGTCTTTTTGAATGTTGAATGCCTTTCCCTTTTATAGAGTGTGGGAAAAGAATGAAATAAAAAGTGAGAAATGGGAAGTGAGAGGCATATTGCGTTTTGTGTTGTTTGAGAGTGCAAGAACATGCATTTTGGAGTAAGTGAAACATGGCTGAGGCGTGTGAGCTGGAAAGTGGGCTTGGTTGGCACAAAAAAATACCATGCATTTTCATGCAAATATGCTATTTCATGACCATACCTTTACCTCCTTATATCTTTCGCTATGGTGCATGAAATGTCACAAAGTTTGAATAAAAACTGAGAGGACATTTCATACTCCATCTTTCATGTTCAAAATTTTCCAAAATGAAGCTTGAATCAATGAGATAATTGGATATTAATGTGTGTCTACAACTTCTTGATGGAATGCCAGACCAGACTGGGAATTCTGCGCGCGCGTGAGGTCTGGCTGGGCAAAACATTTCAGCTCGCATGATGCCTTCTTCTTTCAATTATATCTCAAAATTTATGGAGAACTTGGAGAAAATTCCTGAAGCAACATTATTTCTCACATTTAGGGCTTCAACTTTGATGTTGGACATTTTTCAAAATAATGAATATTTCACATAGAAAATTATTGATGAATGCGCTCCCACAACATGTTTGATGAAATGACTGCCTAGCGCGCGTGGTTTGCCGTGTGCTAGGCAAAAATTTAGTTTTCAACTCAAAATCCTAATCACCATATTTTTTGGACTTTGATGTTTGATGAAAAATGAAGAGAAAGATTCAATATACAACTTTCATGTTGCCAACTTTTTGATTTGAGTCCAAATGGTCGTTCAAAAATGGACATGAAGAAGTCAAATTTTTGCATTTTTAACCGAAATTTCACTAAGTGTCAAAAATCTTCCAAGCTTCATAACTTTTTTTCCTTTAATTTTTTGGACTTATGTCCACTCCTACAAAGTTGGAGAATTTTTCATCCTATTTCTAGGCATATAAAGTTTGTACATGTTCAATAGAAATTGAGAAAGTTATAGTCAGTCAAAGTTCAGCCCTATGGATACTTTGAAAATTTTCAAAACTTCAAATAACTTCCTTGACAAGTTAACTCCAATTCACACTTCCTCTTGATATTTTTGCACTATTAACCACGAAATATGAGAATAGGGATGTTTAATTGATGGTTGACAAAAAGTTCACTTGGTCAACAACTGATTTTGACTGTCTTCTGAGAAAATGACCATTTTACCCCTTTTCATCAATTGAACCCTTTCAAGCCAAAATTGATGATCAAACTTCCAATGATATATGATCATGACTATGTAGATAAGTATGGGATCAAGAATTGCCCAAAAATCCAGAGATCTCCTGATTAAACTTCAAACCCTAGTTTTGATCATTTGTGTTAGGATATAGTGAGATGACTGCAGTTGTGCCATGACCTACAAGATGATATTCCAAGAGACAACATATACACATTTTGAGGTGAGACAAAACAAAAACAACACAAAAATAAGATCACGAAGTATGAACAACAAATTGACACAGAACCTTCGGATCCAAAGTCACCATCGGATAGTATCCATTCAATATTCTCGCACCACCAGGACCTACATTCCTTTCTTTGCATGAGCCTTATTGGAAATCAAGTCCTTAATCTTTTTTGCTTGAGACCCATTAATATGAATTAAGTGATTTGTGTGCGAGACCAAGATGGCTCTCGAGAGCCCAAGTATAAATTCGACCAAATTTTCAAACATGTACACATTCTCTCAAACACGAGGTTCGTAGCAGCGAGATACTTTACGAGAGACATCAGGTCATATATACACTTATCATAATTATATCGTTGTATCCTACCTGACACACTAACACATCGAACCCGTTTATGCATTGTTTAGTCATTTGCTAAGATAGACAGACTACTCCATATTCGGGTCCAGAGCTCAACCAATAAAATTATCTGGAAGATATACAATTATAGATATAGCTAATTTTTATATTTCTCATAAACTATTTTTATTTTGTTGAAAATTAATTTATATACTTAATCTATAACAAGAAAACCTTAATAAAGGTCTAAATAGCCATATCATATAAAAAATTTCTCTTTAAACCTAGTGATTTTCACCTTTCAAAATCCAAAAATATCCTTTGTCCCTTATCCATTCTATGATACTGAATTTTGTTCAAACTCAAGCCGTAAATCTTCCAACAACAACCGATAACATCATCGTCATCATCAATGACAACCTTTTCAACTGGATTCTTATCACACACTCTCAATTTCAGAAACCACCCAAACCGCACTTCTCGCCATTCAAATCCCAACTCTATCGTCACTTCCTCAACCCTGCGCAACACCAACAACCGAAGAACAAGAATCAACCAAGAACAAATCAGGGTCAATGAAACAATGCCAAAACTTGATAGGGGTTATAAACCTGATGTCATGAGAGCTGTCATTAGGTCATTCGAATCAGCTAAGTACGATGAAGCTCTCTACTTTCTTCAGCTCATGGTTGATAGGGGTTATAAACCTGATGTCATTCTCTGCACTAAATTTATTAGGGGTTTTTTCAATTCTTTGAAAACCCAGAAAGCTATTCGGGTCATGGAGATTTTGGAAAAGCACGGCCTGCCTGATGTTTTCGCGTATAATGCAGTTTTAAATGGGTTCTGTAAAGCTGATAGAGTTGATGCTGCCAATAAGGTGCTTGATAGAATGAAAAGAGAGGTGTTTTACCTGATGTTGTTACTTATACTATTCTCATTGGGAGTCTTTGTGAGAGGGGTAAACTTGATTTGGCTTTAAGGGTTATGGATCAGTTGTTGAAAGATAATTGTAGGCCAAATGTTATAACTTATACTATTTTTATTAAAGCAACTATTATTGAAGGTGGTATTGATAAGGCTATGAAGCTTTTGGATGATATGTTGTCGAGAGGGCTTCGACCTGATGTGTTTACTTATAGTATTTTGTTGAAGAATCTTTTGAATGAAGGGAAATGGGAAGCTGGAGAGAGTTTGATGTTTGATATGTTGGATAAAGGTTGTGAGCCGAATTGTGTGACATACAGCATATTGATTAGTTCGCTTTGTTATCATGGCAAAATCGTCGAGGCTGAGAATGTGTTGAAGTGTATGAAGAAGAGAGGGTTGGCTCCTAATGCTTATTGTTACGATCCATTGATTTCTGCTATTTGTAAAGAAGGAAAAGTAAATTTGGCTATAGAGTATTTGGATAACATGATATCAGATGGTGGTTTGCCTAGTATTGTTTCCTATAACTCGATCTTGGCTTCTCTGTGTAAGAATGGACATGCTAATGAGGCTTTGAACATCTTTGAGAAGCTCGGTGAAGTGGGCTGTTCTCCAGATGCAAGTTCTTATATTACATTGTTTGGTGCATTGTGGAGCAGCGGCGATGAAATTAGAGCGTTGGGGATGATTTTGGATATGTTAAGCAAAGGCATTGATCCTGACAAGATCACCTATAGTTCACTTATTTATTACTTGTGCAGAGGTGGATTCATGGATCAGGAAATTGAGTTGTTGGTTGACATGATTGAGAGTCACAAGTATCAGCCAACTGTTATTAATTACAATGCTGTTATTTATGGATTGTGCAAGGTATAAAGAATCATAGATGCTATTGAGGTGCTTGCTGCTATGAATCAGAGAGGATGCTTGCCAAATGAAAAAAGCTACATATTGTTGATTGAAGGGATTGGTTGTGGAGGATGGCAAAATGACGCGATTGAGTTGGCTAGCTTGCTTGTTAATATGGATGCTTTATCGGAAGATTCATTCAAACGTTCGAATCTAACAGTTCCTGTGTTTGATGCGCAAAAGAGCCTGCAGTATTAGAATGAACCAACTTTATGGGCATAAAATTGATTTATACAGGTCTTCTTAATTAAGATTTGGTGTAGAGAAAGCTTCAATATACAACTTTCATGTTGCCAACTTTTTGATTTGAGTCCAAATGCTCGTTCAAAAATGGACATGAAGAAGTCAAATTTTTGCATTTTTAACTGAAATTTCACTAAGTGTCAAAAATCTTCCAAGCTTCATAACTTTTTTTCCTTTCATTTTTTGGACTTATTGATCCGTTGTCGCTGGCGGATAAAAAACGAGTTATTTTGTAAAATGAAGTATAACGATAATGACTCGAGTCGTATCACAAGGATTCTTGATTTTATTATTAACTAATAGAAATCGAATGGGAGTTAGTTTTAGGATCGATTCATAACATGAAATAAGTAATTAAAATAAGTGATTATAAAAATAAGTCGATATACTATTTTCAGGTTCTTGCTAATCATTGGTTTTTACCTTATCAATTCCCTAAGCGGCTTCGACCTCTATTCGATTTCAATATCAATTGTCAAGCGCAATAGATATAAAATAGATTGAATTCCCATTCTGAATTAAGCAAACGATTAATATAATCGTGAATTAAGAAAACACGATATAGAACGCGATTTAACGACTAAGCGACGTAAACAACGATTAAAGATTAGGAATACAATCATACGAATTTAATCAAGACATTCCATGAAATAATAGATTAAGCAAATACAATTTCATAAATAGAATTGAAAGAGAAACGAAATTGAATTGATAAATTAAAAACCTCAAAGCATCGGAACACGATTACAGTAGATCAACTCTGGATGATTAGTTCTTCATTCAAGCATAAAAGCAAAATGTATTTTTTCTCAATAATGAAAAGGTCGAAACGAAATTACTATAGCGGCTGCTAGGTATAGAAAGGACAAGGATTCAGTTCATAACCCAACTGGGTCGAAAACATAACACAGACCCAAAATAAATGACCCAAAACTTAAATATAAAATGCTGCAACTTCAACGAATTTTATGGCCCTGCTACAGTCCGATTCAGCTCTTGACTTCTGAATGAAAATAATAGCTCTTTCTCTTATCTTTCCAACGACTGGTAGCATGCCTCATTCCGACTCATGTAGCTCAAGTTATGAATTTATTCGTGCAGACTGCTAATGCTGAAAATAAAGTGCGAAAATCAAATAAGAGTAGAAATAAACTAAAATAGAAAAATACTATAAAATACAAAAATAAGCTAAACAAACTATGGAAATGCATAAGTAAAATCATGGAAGAATGTTCATCAAAATGCACTGATGAAATTCCCCCACACTTAAACTTTTGCACTCCGAGAAAAATAAAATCAAAAGAAACACAACAGCATCATCAGCTACTGATTCTAGGCTACAAACTCTTCTTCGGTTAAGATTGCATCAATAGGTACTAATCTTTCACACTAAGGATATCGTAGGAACACTAATCTTATCTCTTGAATATGCAAACCAATTCGAATCATATTATTATGCCAAAGCCTAACTTACTCATCCTCCTTTTTGCTCTTTTTCATTCAGGTGCAATCACATTAAGCCCGTTATCTCCACACACTCATAGTAAGGTGACCGATTAGTGACTCTGATCCTTTTTGCACGGGGTTCTGGTACTTACGTGGCATAACCCTTTGCTTACTCGGTTGTAGTTGCGGGGAATTGGACCGTAATCCGCCCTGCCAAGTTCAGCACCAGAAACCGCTGAACCAACTAACAACGAGTCTTATTATCAACTTGTTTTGTAGGTTCTATGACCGTTGGGTTAAGTGACCCGGTGAGGGTCACCAAACTTAAAAGGCGCATTCCTTTTTCTTTCCCTTTTTTTCAAATAAAACTTGAATCACTCACTTATTTTCATCGGCTTCCTTGCGTAGAGTGCGTGTGAGATGGTGCTGACTGCTGAAATAAACTACTCAAGAGCTATTAAAAGATAAGAATTCAAGGCTACGTCATAATAAAAATTCAAATTAACTTCTATATGCATGAGACTTACAGTGTTAAGACAATACCGATTTTGTGAATTTTTCCCAAGTCTCCACAACTAACCTCATATTAATCTATAACCCAAAACTTTCAAAAATGTGCATATTTTTTTATTTTTTTTATAACTGAAAATAAAACAACGAACAAAAGAAAAGAAAAGAAAACAAATAAATAATTCTCTCCCCAACACTTAAAACACACATTGTCCTCATTAAAAGAAACAAGCATAAAATAAGAGAGAGGAGAGAGAGGAAAGAACACACCCGAGAAGTCAAGGCGGATAGATGATCGCATAAGTAGCCTTTCTCAACGAGAAATCTTCTACATTCTCTTCTTCCAAAGTGGGGCTCTCATAGAGTAGCTTTGGGTAATGTCCATTGAACTTGAAATTTTTATTAGTGCCTTCGTCTTTTATTCCAGGATCAAAGAAGAATCTTTGATAAGTAAAAGTGTTGAACAAGCACGTGATCATGATCTCATCTTTCACAATATCAAGGATCAAAAGGTTATGGGGTTGCCTCACTGATTTTTCTACATCTTCAAGTGAGATCCTATGCATACACATAGACGGACTAATATCATAAATATCATCCAAGATCCATCCAATTCCTTTCTTATGCTTCTTCAATACCTGCAAAAATTTACTTTCTTGATCAAAATAAAGTTTAGAAAAAATTATAACCGGAAGTTTTTCATTCATATCTAAATAAGCATATTTAAGATTTTCAGGAATTAGTTTCAACTCTCGGGAAGGTGGTTGTTGGATGGATGATTTGTTTCGGGCAGCCAGAGTGACGAGAGTTTCATCCACATGAACAACTTCATTTGCAACCTCATCTACAGTAAGAATATCAACTTGCAAGGCAGCCTCAATTTCAGCACAAACAAAGCAAATTTTAATATCAGTACAAACATCACAAGAGTAAACATCATCAAAATTAGATAATGATGGAAAATCAGCTGCAAATAAATTAGTACAAGTATCATCAACAGTCTCAGAAAGCAACTCTATTGGAAAAACAGAATTCTCTTCCAAGAGTTGTTGGTTAGATCCTTGAGCTTGTTGCATGATATTCATCAAAGAGGCAAGTTGTTCAATCTGTGTTTGCAAAGTCTGGAGAGTAGAATCTATTTGTTGTTCATACCAGAGATTATTTGCAGCCATTTGTTTGGCAATATCCTCTAGCGAAGGTTCAGAAGGTGCTGAGCACACAACCTGGAATTCCTTCAGATTATGCGGATCTTCACCTGTAAGACTATTAAGCTTTGACAACAAGTGTATTAAATCAGATTTCGATTCAGTAGGTGTATCAGCTGCAAGATAGTCAATACATACACCATTATAGTTCACATCAGGGGCAGCCAACTGCCTCAAAGTTCTTTGTTCAGTCATGTTATCAACAAACACAAATATTAATTATGTCTCAAATAGGCAGAAATAAATAGAAAGAGGAAAAATGATGAAAATAAATTCAGAAAAATATAAAAACATCGAAATTAATCTAATGAAGTAAAATAAGAATATTGAGATTTTTTTTAAATTTTTTCGACACTATGAAAACAGTAAAAAATTATTTAAAAATAGAAAAAAGAGGAATTTGCGATTTTGAGGGTCAAATTCTTTTATAATTCTAGTCTAAAAGACTAATGTTCATCGATTTTTTGCTGACTATGTGGAAAAAATTCGGAGCAAATTGTAACAGTAACTTCTAAACTTACCTGACAGGTTGAAAAACTGTACTGCAACCAGAATTACAATCCTGAAAATCAACAAACACAACAAAACAACAAAAAAAACCAAGAAAAAAATAACAAGAACACTAAACTTATGATTATAATATCAGTTAATAAAAACAAGAATCCCCGGCAACGGCGCCAATTTGATCCGCTGTCGCGGCGGATAAAAAACGAGTTATTTTGTAAAATGCAGTATAACGACAATGACTCGAGTCGTATCACAAGGATTCTTGATTTTATTATTAACTAATAGAAATCGAATGGGGAGTTAGTTTTAGGATCGATTCATAACATGAAATAAGTAATTAAAATAAGTGATTATAAAAATAAGTCGATCTACTGTTTTCAGGTTCTTGCTAATCATTGGTTTTTACCTTATCAATTCCCTAAGCGGCTTCGACCTCTATTCGATTTCAATACCAATTGTCAAGTGCAATAGATATAAAATAGATTGAATTCCCATTCTGAATTAAGCAAACGGATTAATATAATCGTGAATTAAGCAAACACGATATAGAACGCGATTTAACGACTAAGCGATGTAAACAACGATTAAAGATTAGGAATACAATCATACGAATTTAATCAAGACATTCCATGAAATAATAGATTAAGCAAATACAATTTCATAAATAGAATTGAAAGAGAAACGAAATTGAATTGATAAATTAAAAACCTCAAAGCATCGGAACACGATTACAGTAGATCAACTCTGGATGATTAGTTCTTCATTCAAGCGTAAAAGCAAAATATATTTTTTCTCAATAATGAAAAGGTCGAAACGAAATTACTATAGCGGCTGCTAGGTATAGAAAGGACAAGGATTAAGTTCATAACCCAACTGGGTCGAAAACATAACCCAGACCCAAAATAAATGACCCAAAACTTAAATATAAAATACTGCAACTTCAACGAATTTTATGGCCCTGCTACAGTCCGATTCAGCTCTTGACTTCTTAATGAAAATCATAGCTCTTTCTCTTATCTTTCCAACGACTGGTAGCATGCCTCATTCCGACTCATGTAGCTCAAGTTATGAATTTATTCGTGCAGACTGCTAATGCTGAAAATAAAGTGTGAAAATCAAATAAGAGTAGAAATAAACTAAAATAGAAAAACACTATAAAATACAAAAATAAGCTAAACAAACCATGGAAATGCATAAGTACAATCATGGAAGAATGTGCATCAAAATGCACTGATCACTTATGGCCACTCCTACAAAGATGGAGAATTTTTCATCTTATTTCTAGGC